AAACAAAGAAATGGTTCACAATCATCTGAACGATTTAATTTCATCTGAATCAAAATTATTAATTTTTAGGATTTTTGACATTTTCAAAACAAAGAACGTTATTCATTGCACATTTAAATTTGAGATTTTGAACCCCCGATTTTCAATGTAATCTCATGGCATTTGGACCACACTGTACCTAAATAACCAAGTTCAATGCCAGACTAAATGACTTAGTTAAATCATCATCTCTTTGACCTTCTTCGACCAATATTCTCTTTGAAATGAATATTGCTCTACCACATTTGTGAATTCTAGTGAATCAACCGGTTCAAACCTACAACGAAAACAGTCATCCAGATGTCACGGCTTGTGCATTAACCCTTTTATGCGCAAACGGCTGAGGGACAGGAAGCAGTAGTGGGTTGATTTGGCAGCCAAATCTGAGCTTCCTCCCACCTGCTCACACTTCCAGGGCCCATTCTGCCCACTCTCTGACCCAGCCTGTAGGTGCTTCTCAAGCAGCCTTACTGTTAGACATGAGATATACTGGAAGAGCTCAAGGCTGCTGCCCACAACGGCTGCACCAGCTCTAGCAAAGGCCTCGGTAACAGTGGAAGGTCTGAGTCAGTTAGCTTGCACACACCCCCTCTTACCTGTCAAAGTGAGAGGGCCTGAGTTAACCAGGACACCTGGACAGAAGAACTGAGCTAGAGAAGCTGAGACAAGGGGCTTCCATGCAACACATCAGGGGTGAAATGAGAATCGGTTAACAGTACAAACCCACAGATTGCATTGCATGAAAGAGGTGCATAGGCGACGAGTGTGATTTCATCATGTGTGGTAAACACTTTGTGACTGAGTGTGAGATACAACGAGGAAGGTCATAACATGGAACTCAAAACCAAGAAGATGGTCACAGTTCCCAAGAAATATATCGACTTCATGTTCTTTTTCTATTAAAAGAATCAAGCAAATGGCTGCCATTTTATCTTTATCTAACTGCACCTTATCTGATACCACCGAAAAATGAGTTTGCACACAATTCAGTTTATGTGAATCACTCAGCTGTGGAAGTTAGATATCAAGCTATCGCAAAGATTCACACGAAAATTGGTGCTGACGCTTTTTAAGGAAAGACAGGATGTTATAAGTGAGGTAGGATTCATAAGTTCCCTTTCGTTGTCACTACGAGTTCCGTGACGACGAATGGGGTTTCGCTTAGAAAGCCTATCAACTTCGAGTATACGAAACAAGCCAATGGCAAAGAAATGCCATGGGTCTGTGGAATTTGCTTGGCGCAACTCCGCCCCACCTCGTGGGTATAAAAGGAGGACGCCGGCAATATGCAGATATGTTTTCGCTTCGGAGCCAAGAGTTTTCTTCACTCAACAAGCCATTTCTGATCAACTGTCAGCTACGAGACGAGCGACTCTCCGGTGTTGGTGTGACGGCGTTCTCCAGCGAGTGCATACTACCTGCTGATCTGTGCAGTGGTCTGCCAGTGAGTAAGTTTCTCCCTGGGCGCTTCAATATCCGCAGAGCTTTCCTCTCACAAAAGAGCTTTGCACGCTTTGTCTTTTTAAAGACGCCTCGCCCGTGCACTTCTGGTTGCGGTAGACTCATTTCTGACTCTGATGGGCACGATCGCTGTTCTGCGTGTTTGGGCATTGATCACGCTAGAGCAGCGCTCGTGGATGACTCATGTTCTCTCTGCGGGAACATGACCATCGTGTCATTACGGTCGAGACTCAGTGATCTCACAAGAGTGAGAGTCCCCTCATCCACACCCCAATCTACTCCCTCCTCGAGAGCTAGTACTTCGGCTGGTGGCCAGGGTGACCTGAGGGTGACGGTGTGGAACAAGGCGCCAACTATTTGTCCGTGCCCCGCACCCTCCCCTCCAGTGACGCTACCCGTTAGTGATCAGGGGATTCCCGCGGGTCCATCTTCGGATGCCCCGCGAGTTTCCTTTGGCGCTACAGAGGAAGATGCGATGTCTATCACAGCATCACAAGGTGAGCAAGATTCTTCAGGAAGTGAAGATTTGGCAGCGCTGCCACCTTTGGCATCCCCGTCGGATCTCGAAATCCTGGAAGACTGCCATGTCTTCCCGCGATCACTCGTTGATCAAATGCCTGCTGACTTGCCTGAGAAAATTCGAGGGCAAGAGCGTGGTTCCACTGAAGTTATTTCAGAGGCTCCTGGGGCATATGGCATCTGCAGCCGCGGCAACGCTGGTCGGATTGCTTCATATGAGACCGCTTCAGCTCTGGCTTCGCGACCGAGTCCCGAGGTGGGCATGGCAACACGGCACGCTCCGAGTACCAGTTACTCCAACCTGCCGTCAGACCTTCACCCCGTGGTCGAACCTTAGCTTTCTACGGGCCGGAGTGACCTTAGAACGAGTTTCCAGGCATGTTGTTGTCTCAACAGATGCCTCCACCGCGGGCTGGGGTGCCATGTGCAATGGACATCCTGCCGCGGGCTCCTGGACAGGACCCCAGTGCCTATGGCATGTCAATTGCCTCGAGTTGCTGGCAGTACGCCTTGCTCTGCACCGCTTTCGGGCGCTGCTCAAGGGTCAACACGTACTAGTCCGATCAGACAATACCGCCACAGTAGCGTACATCAACCATCAAGGTGGTCTACGCTCCCGCCGTATGTCGCAACTCACTCGCCAACCCCTCTTATGGAGTCAGAAGCATCTGAGGTCGCTTCGAGCCATTTACATTCCCGGAGCCCTGAACTGTGCAGCCAACGAGCTCTCACGGCTTCAGCCCCTCCCTGGAGAATGGCGACTCCATCCCCAGTCGGTTCAGCTGATTTGGGACCAGTTCGGGGACGCTCAGGTAGATCTGTTTGCCTCCCACGACTCGTTTTACCTGTTTTACTCCCTGACCGAGGGCACGCTGGGCACGGACGCACTGTCGCACAGCTGGCCGCGGGGCTTCCGCAAATATGCGTTTCCCCCAGTGAGCCTTCTTGCGCAGACCCTGTGCAAGATCAGGGAGGATGACGAGCAGGTCATTTTGGTCGCGCCTCACTGGCCCACCCGGACCTGGTTCTCTGAACTTGTACTCCTCGCGACAGCACCTCCCTTGCCAATTCCTCTGAGGAATGACCTCCTTTCTCAGGGACGGGGCACCCTCGTCCCGATCTCTGGAACTTCCACATGTGGCTCCTGGACGGGACGAGGTAGGTTTGAGTACCCTACCACCAGCGGTGGTGGCTACCATCACTTCCGCTAGAGCATCATCCAAGAGACATGTTGAAGTGGAACCTCTTCGTCAACTGGTGCTCTTCTCACCAACAAGACCCCCGGAGATGCCCGATCAGTGTCGTGCTTTCCTTCCTGCAAGATGGGTTGGAGCGAAGGCTGTCTCCCTCCACCCTGAAAGTGTATGTTGACGCTATTGCCGCACATCATGACACAGTTGAAGGTAAGTCCGTCGGAAAGCACGACCTGATCGTCAGGTTCCTGAGAGGAGCGAGGAGACTAAATCCTCTTGGGACCTCTCAGTGGGTCTTACTGCCCCTGAAGGAGGCAGACCCAGCCTTGGCACTGCTCTGTCCAGTACGCGCTCTCCGCGCCTATGTAGACAGAACGCAGTGTTTCAGGACCTCAGACCAGCTCTTTGTCTGTTATGGTGGGAAGCTGAAGGGAAATGCTCTCTCCAAGCAAAGGTTGTCTCAATGGATAGTGGACGCCACTGCTTTGGCTTACCAGCAGCAAGGTCGACCATGCCCCCTTGGTGTGGCAGCCCACTCCACCCGGAGTGTGGCTTCCTCTTGGGCTCTAGCGCATGGCGCCTGCAGAGACATCTGCATAACAGACATCTGCAGAGCTGCAGGCTGGGTGACATCCAACACATTCGCCAGATTCTACAATCTCCGAGAGGAGCAGGTGTCCTCTCATGTACTCGCTTCAACCAGCCAGTACAGCTAGTACTAGGACCCGCTCAGGTGTCTTCGCTTGCTCGCCACTCCACTCCACTCCAAGGACTGGATACGTGCGATTTTTCCTCAGGTGAGCTTCCCCGACAAGCCCTGAGTTCCTCCAGCACTGCTGACGTCGACGCCAGTGTCTATTGCCTGCGCGTTGGCTAAGTGCCTCCGTGTGCATGGTCCCCCCTCTGGGCGACCCCCACATGTGTATTTCCACTGTAAGCCTCTCTGAGTCTTTCCCTTGGCAAGCCACCTTGCCACCCCTGGGGTTGAAATATTCCACTTTTCGGGCTGGACACCCCAGTGTTCCCCATATGCACCCCCCTCCTGGGTCATATGTGTATTCTTTAAGTCCTCCCTTCAGGCAGGCACTGATTGCATATTTCCACTGAGATATGCTTCTCAGTGTACCTTGGTATTCCTGTGTTAAGTAGGAGTCCTTCGTCCATGCTAGTCTCACGACAGGGAGCTCAGACTTACGCAGGGCACCTGAAGACAACTGTGAAGGTGGCGCGATTAGACTGAAACCCCATTCGTCGTCATGACGGAACTCGTAGTGACAACGAAAGGGAACGTCTCGGTTACGTATGTAACCCTCGCTCCCTGAGTAGGGAACGGAGACGTTCCATCTTCCTGCCACTTCCGCTGTACAGCGGGGACCGCCTGAGATCAGTCTTGGCTCCACAGCGAAGAAACATATCTGCATATTGCCGGTGTCCTCCTTTTATACCCACGAGGTGGGGCGGAGTTGCGCCATGCAAATTCCGCAGACCCATGGTATTTCTTTGCCATTGGCTCGTTTCGTATACTCGAAGTTGATAGGCTTTCTAAGCGAAACCCCATTCGTCGTCACGACGGAGCGTCTTTGTTCCCTACTCAGGGAACGAGGGTTACATACGTAACCGAGACGATTTCAGCTACAAATCACAAAAGCAGATTATGATATTGCATAAATGCTAAGAAAGAGAATAATTGTTTTGCTGTTTGGCAAGTAAACGGAAACACATTCAATTTGCAAGACCGACCCATTTGTAGAGTGTTGCATCAGGTTTCTGTGATTCTAAAGGCCTTACTGAGGTCAAGCACATCGTCAGTCTTGATGAGATCCTCCGGTCGGGTGAGAGGAAGTTGAGTTTCTGGTTCACCCTGCAGCTGTAGGGACAGGGAGCGCAGCATGAAGAACACACGGATAGCCTGCAAGGACACACAAAAACAATTAAAAATGCTATAGCAATTAATTAATCATAAACCAGGAGAAACAATGGTTTTAGAGATGCACCGATTGGAACCAGATGGTTTTTACTCAAAACACACGATCGCAACCGTGTGTTTTTTTTATGTTTTTATTTTGGCCAATCTCTATTCTGGACTTGCATGCACACTGCTTTGCAATCATTTCCCAAAATGTTATTTGTGTGGAAATATTACGATTTCTGTATACAGGACATTAACACAGGCCAGAGATGGGGAGACGCTGAAGACGGAAGCAATGAGCAAGCTCACTGTTCGTGAAGCATTAAAAAACAAAAAAAAACAAAAAAAATTTTTAGCCACCACCTGGGTTTTTGATTATTTTCACAAAAGTTTCATGGTCCCCAGAATATTTTGTTTTATGAATATCTGAACATGCAATATATCAAAAGAAAGAACAGACCCTCTGATTTTAAACAACAACAAAAAAACGTTTCATTCTAGCTTCAAGCATTCTTTTTTAAAGTTTTTAAAAAAAGCCTAATTTTGAGCAAAAAGCTGAGAAAATCGTGTATTTGTCAAAGACTAGGTCTGGATCGGATTCAGAATGATGATCAAGATCAAGTAGAGTAGATCAAGTTCATCAACACCCCCAAAGCTTCAGTCCTATACCTCGCCCTGGGTCGACATTTCACTCTGTAACATTAGGCAGTTTTGATTTATATGCTGTTTAATGTTGAGATGATCGCATTACATTACATATGCATCTGCTTACATAAACTATCACTTGTTTCTGATTCTTCTTCACCTGTGTTTTGATCAAGAGATTCAGTACTCTTTCGGAAGATGTAAAATAGCACCCCTACCATATAACAGTGAAAACACTAAAAGCCAGAAATTTCCGTCAATGACGGGGAAATACTTTAAGTAGTGTTTATAAGTGCAGTGCTGCTATGTGTACCATAAGTGCCACCAACTATCAAAGAGTGAATTTGCATTTTCATTCATGAATGAAAATGCAATGTTTTATATGGAATGATTTTACAAAGCTAAAATCAGACCATTCTTTTTTTGCTTTAATTCCTAAAACTTATCCAATTATCTAATTTAAATGAAATCAACTGCTCATGCTACATGTGTGTAGCCTTATTGTTTGAATCGTAATTAAAATGCAGTGGTTGTCTCTAATTTCTTGTAGAAAAAAAATTCAGCAATAAATCAGCAATCGTAATCATCCTTGCAAAATCATGATTTGAGTCTCCCTGGAATTTATGTCCAACATGAGCAACAAGAATACTTTTAAAATATACTTTGAAATATTATGTAAATATAATATGCATCTCAAATATTAAAATATCATCAATGTATCTCAAACAAAGAACACATCCATATCCAAATTTCAACTGTTTTACTGTGACATTACCTAGAGTTGTCATGATATCAAAGTTTCAGTACCGATACCTGTGAAATTTTACAACTCTTGGTGCCACTTTCAAAACTCATATAATATTGAACACACTGCATTATGTAGAAAGTTAAATATTAAGGTGAAAAAACAACAGTAAAACACGTTGTTCATTTAAGTAAACAGAGCTTTTTTTTATGTATAAATCCAATGTAATTTATACAAATGTAAAATATCAATACTTAAATTGCTGCTATAGTCTTCACTTAAGGATTAATGCATATATTAATAGCATTTATTCAATGCTATAGGAGTTTTATTGAGAAGCAGCTCTACAGTTACTTCCAACCATTTCAACAATTTCTTTAGGCTTAAATTGTGTTCATGCTAAACCAAGAAGTGCATTTGACCAATCATGTGCACAGCTGCATCACCAAACACAGATATGAATGTTTAAAATCAGCTGTTTGCCATTCAGACTGTGCATGGGTACCAAATTAAGTCAATACCGATCCTGCAGAAAGCCTGGTATTGTTATATTTCTAAAACACATGAAATCTTTCTAAAATTCTTTGGAATGTTTCCCAGGAGACGAACAGCGCAAACACTGGCCAAGAAACACATGCATTCATGGATTGTGAGAAAAGGTTCAGGGAGTTTCTAGATGAAGCCAAAATGTTTGACAAAAGGCCATGAGACCCACCCATTTAATTTAATTTCAGAACTTTCAGCATGAGTATATATGTTCATCACTGACCCTGCGAGTCCTCTCGACATCTCCACAGGGCAATCGCTTCACAAAGTCAATGCCGGTAAGGGGGGTGCCAGTGGGAGGAAGTAAAATGGAGGCATCCATCATAAGATACTCCACGTTTAGGGGCTTATTCTACATAGAGATGACACATAAACAAAGAACAAGAGCAAAAACATGAATCACTTAATAGGCTAGTTGATGCTAGAACAAAAAATCAACAACAACAACAAATTCAAGCGTTTTTTGAGTTTTGCTGGACGAATACCCTGTTGGGGGGGTTTGTTGGTTCAGTGTGAACATGACAGTTATTTTTCACAACATTTAAAACCAACTTCCATTGCAAACCTTTTTTCTATGAAACACAAGAGACAAAATTTTAAAGAATATCCTGGCTACTATTTTTAATAGGACAGTGAATGATGACTGGGGCTGTCAAGCTATAAAATATAAATAATAGTATCATAAAAGTGGACCATATGACTTAAATCCATACCATTTCATGGTCCACATGGTCTCAATACATAATATAGAGGACATCATATGGAGGAATTTTATGGCATGTTTATGGGGCTTTTATGGTAAAAGATCCACTCAACATCATTTTAACTGCAGGAAAATGAGCAACCATTTTTTATTTATTTTTTATTTTTTGTGTTCCATGGAAATAATGAGTAAATGACAATATTTTCATTTTAGGTGAGCTAATCCTTTTTTAAACAAGGAACCAGGAAAAACCAGGAAAATAATGCTTTGTAAGAGGAAGCAGTATAAACGTAGGATGTAGTAGCCACTCCTTATCCAGTAAATGTCAAATAGATAAAGGTTTCCTCTCACATCAGAAGCAGGATGTGTTGCTGTATCATCAGGTTATGACAGACAGTAAGAGTGAAGTTGCAAATAAGAAAAAGTTTATGCGTTTAGTAAGGCTGCTTACCATCATGCTTCTGTACTCATCCTCAAACATGTCCAGGAAGATCTCCTCCCCCTGCAGAAAGAGGAAAATGAGTGGGAAAAATTTCCATAATAGAAATCAATACTACCTTTCAAATGATTGGGGTCAGTAATTTATTTTTTCTAAATAAATTTATACTTGAAAAATTTGTGTGATAAGCTTGTAACAAAACTTAAAAAACAAGACTTTACCTGACTTCTTAGGTTGCCTATAAAGGCCTGTAAACTGTTTTTTATGTGAAGAAATCCAAAGGATCTGACAGTTAAGAAAGGCTTCAGAGAGATGCCTAATAAATGCTTATACAGTATTCAGGATAATGCCGAAAGAGCTACTCTGTACTGTAATGTTAATTACAGCAAAGAAAAGGGATTAATTCAAACTGTAGTCTCACATAGCCAGATCTATATAGTCTATAGTCTCAAACATAATTTATATTCAAACTTTCATAACAGTGTAATTTTAATGATCTCATCTGTCAACATGATACCAGTAAATTGCAGAGCTTGTGCAAACATATTGACATCACTATAATCAGATGCTTTCTTAACAGCTGATTTCTCACCGCTGTCATTTTTGTTGTTGTTGTAATTGAGGACAGCACGCAGCACATATTTATATTCATCTAAACATCGCTCTCAGCAGTCATTGCAAAGGTATTTCCAACTTTTTACTTCTAAGGAAAGAATTAACTTCGCCGAGAGTATATCAGGGCATGACTGCACAAGTGTGAGGAAGAGCAATAAGTTGCTGGCTGTAGTTCACTTAACGGCCACCAGTGTCGCTAATAACAAGGGTTTCTGAATTCTACTTATAGCCCCTTTAAAGGGATAGTTCACCCAAAAATGAAAATTCTGTCAGTAATTACTCACCCTCATGTTGTTCCAACCCCGTAAGTCTTTCGTTCATCTTCGGAACACAAATTATGATATTTTTGATTAAATCTGAGAGCTGGATCACTCCTTCATAGTCTTCTATTGTAATTGAAACCTGCCGGCCCAGAAAGTTAGTAAAAACATTGTTAAAATAGTCCAAGTGACTACAGTGGGTCAACCTTAAGTTTATCAAGCGACGAGAATACTTCTATGTGGGCCTCTGAATGAGTTCATGAAGTGTAACAGCGCAGTGCTTCGTCAGAACGTAGGCTCACTATTGGCCAGCATCACACTCATGACCAGCGTCGGCCAATATTGAGCCTACGTTCTGACGTAGCACTGCGCTGTTACACTACGTGAACTCAAGCACAAAAAGTATTCTCGTAGCTTGATAAACTTAAGGTTGAGCCACTGTAGTCAATTGGACTATTTTAACGATGTTTTTACTAACTTTCTGGGCCGTCAGGTTTCAACTACAATAGAAGCCTATGGAGGAGTGATCCAGCTCTCAGATTTAATCAAAAATATCATAATTTGTGTTCCGAAGATGAACGAAAGTATTACGGGGTTGGAACAACATGAGGGTGAGTAATTACTGACAGAATTTTCTTTTTGGGTGAACTAACCCTTTAAAATATACTGCAATAAAAAATTATAATAATATTTTACAATATTATTGTTTTTACTGTATTTGTGTTTGAATAAATACAGCCTTGGTGAGCATATAAGAGACTTCTTGCAAAACATAAAAAAAAAAATCTTCCTAACCCCAAACATTGGAACAGTAGTGTATATTAAGAAATATAAATAAATAAATAAATCCCACTGTCACTCATGGAATGGGAAATATAAACATTACTTGCAAGCTAAAATACAAATGAAACTCTTAAGTAACATTAACCCTCATCCTTGACCATTTTAACTTGCATAAACAAATGTTACTTATTCTAGGATGGCTATAGTATTATATCAAATTCATTAAAAGAAAATTAATGATTTAATGTTATTATTAGACTTTTTTACCATCTGACCTGGTACTATCAAGAGATCTATTGTAAACATGAATCAGTGTGAATGCTCAGTTCCATGAAAAGGGTAGGGGAGTGACTACAGGAAATACAGATACAGACTAATGAGCACAAATTAAATTATTCACAACAGTCAGACTCTTTTACATTTACAGTACAAGTCATTTATGGCCACTGCATAATTTTCATGCTTTCACATCTGTTATTTTATAGTTTTGACCTCACTATTATGCTGTAGTGTGGACAATGGAAATTATAAAGAAACAGCAGGTTTGTCCAACTCCTGACTGCTATTGTACATGTCTGGCAGGTTTCTTGGAAGAGCTGGAACACAATGATCCATTATGAGCACACGCTAGAAACACAGATGAGATAGCAAAATAATGGCCCTCCCAGGACTCTCCATAATCCCAGAACAGAACATCCAGTACTGTGATTATTTATATACAGTCCTCACACACATTTTGGATGATGACGGTTGGAATGTGCAGTCTGCATAATGCATTGTGAAGGAGATCTTTCTTTGAATTGTGAAAGCAAAACTGTCTGCTGTTCCCATGCATGTTAAACTGTATCACGCCATACCACTCAAATTTCACGAGTGAAAATGACTTCGGGGAATATAAAAAGGTGGGGGAAAAGTGCTGCAGAGTGCAGAATGCAGTATTAGTTGGAAAACACGTCTATCACTGTTGAGACAAATGGCAGAGTGGCCAAAACAAAAGCTGAACTTACTAGTGTACTTTGTAACCTTGCAGGAATCCAAGTACTCTATTCTGTTTAATAGTAGCTCACTTTCACAGAAATGTCTCAATATGAATAAGCCACCAAGAGAACTGACATGTTTCAACAGGAAGCTGTTGGGATTTTCCTAAATATCAAAACAGCAAAGTCTTTAGGGTGAGCTGTCTGAGCTTAATTCTTCCTCAGACTTTGAAGGAAATCAACAGCGAGTGGGGTGACTAAGGGAGAATTATTAGCATGAAGATATGTTGCCTATATGGCTTCCAGTAAGTTAGTGACTTTTATTAAATCTAAAATAAAATACAAGAGCATCTTGCCTTATAAAATCGCCTCAGAAGGTGAAGACTCTCTTCTCGGGCACCCTAAAAAAAGAAAACATCATCATAGTAATGGTATGATTGAGTTACACAATATAAACAAGTAAAATATCCTACTTCCTGTAAATCTGTCTGCTATCAAAATAGGAAATGAAAGAAACTGTAATGCAATGTAAAAAAAAAAAAAATACTGGGAAAAACCTAAGTGTGCTAAGTATGTGTTAAGAAACAATCGATAAATTAGAAATATGTTGCAATCCGTCTTGAATAATTTTGTTTGCAGAGGTTGATAAGCAAATTAGCATGACTTCATTTTTTATTTGACTGAATTTCAAAATATCTTTTTCAATTATTGTGAAAGATACATGCACACGTTTTCACAGTCTTTATCTACAATGACAAAGCAGGCCATAGGGAATATTTGCATCCATTGCTGAAACACAATGCCATGTTGTCATGTATTTGGCAATAAAACCAACCAATGTGATTTAGAATGATAAATAAGTTTGATTTTTAAAATGTTTTTATGTGTCATATGTTTGCAGACAAAATTTACCCCTTTTATACCTCTAGGCTCAAAACTCTGAAAGGGAAGATCCATGAACTAACTTTTGTGTTAATAATAATAATAATAATAATTATTATTAATAATAATAATCATTTGTTACATTTCTATAGCTTTTCTGGGTACTCAAAGCGCTTTAAATAGAAGGGGGAATCTCCTCAACCACCACCAATGTGCAGCATCCACCTGGATGATGCGACGGCAGCCATATTGTGCCAGAACGCCAACCACACACCATACCAGCTTATTGGTGGAGAGGAGAGAGAGTGATGAAGCCAATAAGTCAATATGGGGATGATTAGGAGGCCATGATGGACAGAGGCCAATGGGCAAATTTGGCCAGGATGCCGGGGTTACACCCCTACTCTTTTTTCGAAGGACATCCTGGGATTTTTAATGACCACAGAGAGTCAGGACCTCGGTTTAACATCTCATCGAAGGACAGTATAGTGTCCCCATCACTACACTGGGGCGTTAGGACCCACACACCTCTTCCAGCAGCAACCTGGTTTTCTCAAGAGCTCTCCCATCCAGGTACTAACCAGCCTCAACCCTGCTTAGCTTCATTGGGCAACCAGTCTTGGGCTACAGGGTGATATGGCAGCTACTTTTAATGGATCACCAATATCCATTAAGAATAAAGTATAAAAAATAATTAAAAAAAAAAAAGAGTAGAAATTGTTGAAGCCTGAGATACCAACTATATACAAGAACTTTTACATACCATGGAAGGTTTTTATACTATGTATCTTTTTTCTACAGCTAAAAAAAATATGTGGACTGAAATTATCACTCGCATTTATGGGAGTAAATTATATAAATATATGAATTGATACTAAATTAATTATTATACTTTTACACTGATAATAAATTAGATTCTTTGATCATTACTTGGAAAAGTAAGAGATGTTCTGTGTTAAGACGCCTACCTCCAAACAGGCCAAGTGGATGTCCTTTATAATGCATTGAGAGCCAGACAGCACAGACTGTTTTAAAAGTAGACAGCTTAACTCCAGGGTGGCAAGACGCACCTTCCCATCTGAAACACACACACACACACACACACGATAAAGCAAAACAAAACCCATTAAGTGCAACTGTTCTAAATTTACAACTGAATCAAAGTGGCATTACCACAGCAGACCAAACATGTGGGATTTCGTATTACGCAAATAACTTCTGACCATCTCCAGAGGAGAAAATCTAGCAAACGTGTCTTAAAAAAGGAAGTGTGGGGCATTACAATAGCTCAGATGTGTGTAACCACGGCAACAGCCAAACAACCATGTTGGCAAACAAACGTGCTGCAAATGAAAGAGAAAATCTAAAGTTTAGCTTCTTGTCATGCTAGTGTCACAATGGAGACTGGATGGAAATGTCAAAAGCACAAAGAGCATGAATCATACAATATGAGGACAATAGCTCATCATGCGTATATTGCAGAGTACCAATGATGGGCTTTCAGAAAACTCAATTTAGCATCATGCAAGCAAATGTAATGTGAATGTGAAGCAAGTCAACATTCAAATGTCACAACAATTACAGGAGCCCCTGAAAGGAGAAACTGGCTACAATTCCTCTTCACAAAGGTGAAAGTGATCAACGGTTAGAGGAAATTGGTTGCAGTTCGTGTTACTCAAGGTTGTGGTCAAGTGTATGGAGCTAAAGAAATGTGCATCAGGCGAAAGGGCATTCAAATAACAACTGATACTTCACTAAGCTCTGGGCCTTTTGCTCACACTGACGGTTGCTGAAGCTTTTCAGAACATCCCATAGGAATAAACTGGAGATTTCTGTAAACAGTGCGATGTAAAATGTGCTCATAAAGTGGTAAAAATTTAAGGGATGTTATCCTGACATGGGCTAGAATGAACTCTGCATTGTTATCTGCCATTTTTCTTGAACAAATTGTTAAAAATAATTGGTTAATATTATTTTCCGTCCGTTGCCTTGGTTACATCATCAGAAAATTCATTTCAGAGCAGTATTGTTATTATTAAAACTATTTTAAAAAAATCCCTTCATTGAAATAAACCTGAAAAAAAAAAAAAAAAAAAACTGTTTTATATTAGATTAAAACCTATCCTTGAACTAAAAATTAGAAATGTTGCTTTGGCAACTAACTAAAATAAAAAAAGTTACTAAAATGTAAGAGTTACTAAAATGACTTCGTAACTAAAACTGAAAAATTAAAGTTAAATACATACATTAAAATAAATGTAAAAACAAAAATGAAAATATTTAAATAAAAGCTGATTCAAAATATTAATAAATACCATAATAGTATATAAATAATAATAAAATTAACACTTTTTCAAAAGCAGAGAAAGTTATTACAGTTGATTAGAAAAATAAATAATTATGCCTATAATAACTTGTTGAAACACATACATTAAAGGGGTCATATAATGGTACATGCTCTTTTACAAGTTGATTGTACTGAAATGTGTGTTGGCAGTGCCTGTACACAGCCATCATATAATGATAAAAATCCATCCAGTGGTTTTGTTTTAATCTCCTTATATGTTTTCCCCTGCCTCAAATCGAGCCGTCTGACCGTGTGACATCACTAAATCGGACGCCCCTCCCACGATTGTTGATTGACAGCAGTGTTTCAACACAGTCCCGCCCTGAGCGAGCTGTCATCATAATCCGTCATTGTTGATACGCTGGAGAAGAATGGCGTCTAAGCGACTGTGGTGTTCTGTTCTTGGGTGTAATAACGAACACAGCAGTCATTTTGATGTTCCTAAATCCGAACCGCTGAAGACGCAGTGGCTGAGTTTTGTTTTCGAAGGGAATATTCCCCACGAGCAACGTCAATGCTCTCATGTTTGCGCAAATCATTTCTCACCAGACTGCTTTATAAACGAGCGTCATTATGAGCTGGTTTTTGCAAATCGCTTGCGCGCTTCACGATAAATACGGCTAAGGTTTAAACTCAGGGTACATTACGGCATGTTTTCTATGTACGACGTTCTCAATATAATTCATAATCCCATGAACAACGCGTTATGGTTATTGTGTTATTACAAACTGTGTACACATAGTGTCCGTATCTCACTACTCTACCCTGCCAGTACATACAAAGATAGATCAAAGTGACATTACATTAACCAACCATTCAGAAACGTCCTGTTCAAGCCTTAACTTCTTCGGGCCGTCATCTTTTTCCGGGTCCGACTCCGGTTCAAACTGATACGGTTGCACAGATGTGTCCTCAGAGACTCCCGCTGCCATTCTTTCTCCAAAATATACCATCAACTGTTGTCAAGGCAACACTCCACGTGCGTTGTGTCAAAATGCCCCATAGAACAGAGAGGCGGGTTGATAAAGCTCATTATCATTTAAAGACAAATGCACTTAAACGGTGTGCTGAAAACAGAGCTGTTTTTGACCAGGTAAAATGACTAAATGAGGTAAAATACTAATGAGAATTTTATAATTAAATTATATTACAAACTTTTAATTTAGACCCTAAAGAATCATATTAACTTGTATAAAAATGGCATTATATGACCCCTTTAATACCAGATACAGTCTCAGAAGAGAAAGATTTTGATTTCATGTAGACTTTAACCACTTTAGTTTGGACAACAAACAAGTTTGACGCATTAAAACCACAGCTGATAATTACTAAAGACACACAGAAGAAGTTTTGCTTAAGCTGTTTGTACATAAAATGTTGCACAATCACTGGATTGAAATATCAGTAAAGGTCAACAATGAATAAACACTAAACAGTGAATGCTTTGATCTGCACAGTCAAGTTCAGGCACAACGATGGAATCTGCAGAGTCTAATATTTAATGAGCATGTTCAAGCAAGTGAAGGATAATATTTGGAGTCAGTTAAATAAAGTACAGTAGAGTGAGAACGTGCAGGTGAGAGACGTGGAGGATGTGTGTGTGTGTGTGTGTGTGTGTGTGTCTCTCTCTCTCTCCACGTACCTGGCTGAGCAGCCTGGTTCATGATTCGGATAACTCTCTCCACCAGCACCTGACTGTAAGAGCTCCTGTCTTGATTTGGCACAGGTAGCTGGATCCTCTCTAAGAGCTCTGGGTTTATACCTGCACGTACACACATGCACACATGCACACACATAAACAAAAATGTGCAAATATCAGAATGTTGGAGCATGATGTTGATTAATGTATATATGGATATATTTACATTATTTAAACATACAAATCTGAATTTTCACATGATCTTTCAAAAATCATTTTAATATGCTAATTTGTTGCTCAAGAAACATTTCTCATTATTACCAACACACATATATATATATATATTGTTACCCTGGTATAAAATGCCTATTGTTAAAGATTTTGCTATATTGTGTATAGCGCCATGTAAATATATAGTACTATTGACACTTCAGAGTGATTAAATGCATGAATGAGAATATAAAGAGCGGGACGTGCTTGATGTTAAAATGAGTTCCCTTTCAAGTTTGGTCTCTCGACATTGCGTCGACAGCTGATGCTTTGGGGAAATTCCCTCTTTGAAAATGCTGAAGCCTGATTGAATCATGCTATTGGACCTGCAATAGTCAAGGCGCTCAAGCGGAGCAAGGCCCGTCGCTATACAAGCCTGCGCTGAGCGCTATTGACTTTGAATCTTTCTCCTTCACTCAAGCTTGTTGTTTCAGCGTGGATATTCTTGCACGAGCGGACGATACAGAAAGAAGTTATCCCCTTCTGCGATCCGGCGAAGATGATGTCGCTAAGAGGATGCTGCGTATGCGGAGGGCCCATCGAGCTACCAGACTCACGTTTTGGGCCCGTATTTATCAAGCTTCTTAAAGTGCCATTTTAGTCTTAAGTGCTGAGAATTCATGAAATTTACTCCTACTTTCAAACTTAAGTATAAAAGCAAGTTAAGAATCACTCTTACTCTCCCAGTTATTTAAGACAGCTCGAGAGGTCTCTCAAGTGGTTAGGAGTTGCCAGTAGGGGCTTGTGGTGGCACGGAAGAGACAGAGACGTGCGCGAATCTTTCAGGAGAGGAAGAATGTTTTTGAAATGTTTGACAACAAGCAGTTAATCAAACGGTATCGTTTGGACAGAGCAGGCATCATCTTTGTCAGCGCTGGTTAATGTTGGGCTGAACTTGCCTTTTATAACTTTCCGTCCTTCGGATGAGACGTTAAACCGAGGTCCTGACTCTCTGTGGTCATTAAAAATCCCAGGATGTCTTTCGAAAGAGTAGGGGTGTAACCCCGGCATCCTGGCCAAATTTGCCCAGTGGCCTCTGTCCATCATGGCCTCCTAATCATCCCCATATTGACTAATTGGCTTCATCACTCTCTCTCCTCTCCACCAGTAAGCTGGTGTGCGGTGGGCGTTCTGGCGCAATATGGCTGCCGTCGCATCATCCAAGTGGATGCTGCACATTGTTGGTGGTTGAGGAGATTCCCCCTTCTATGTGAAGCGCTTTGAGTGCCTAGAAAAGCGCTATATAAATGTAATGAATTATTATTATTATAATTAATTATAACATGTTTCCACTGTTCAACTAATTCAGCTAGCAGTAGTGCTTCTTCCTCCCACCAGTTCAGTTTTCTTTTGGAATCCATGGTGGCAGATTATATCAAAATCTAGGCTACAGGCAGGTCAGTTAACAGCACAATGGTTTAAAACTTATTATATTCTCTTATCTGAGAATATTCTTAAATAAGGAAATCTATTCAGTGATTGGTCCATGCCAATGTCGTCATCCAAAATCCTGTTTGTGGCACAGCAAAGTGTTGTGAATCATCTCTAAAACTGACACTGAAGATTTAGTCCTACACTTCACTTAAATTACGACTGAGATGCTTGATAAATAACTTTTAAGCGCAGCTTTGAGCCAAGAATTTTTTTACTCTAAAGTCAATTCTCAGCAGTGTTATTGTGAGTAATTCTCAGAGCCTTGATAAATATGGGTCCTGGGCGGCGACAATGGAGAGATCGGATTGCCACAGTTTTCACTGCTCCCCTTCCCACCGACGTTCAGCTGGGGGGCGGGAGAGGCAGCTCGATCAGCTGACACGGGGTAAAATAACTTACTCTTGACTGAATAACTTTTTTTTAGCTTAATTAAGAATACATTTATATTTAATTCATGCAGTGAAGATTATGCAATATTTGATTGTTTTTACATTTGATTATTACATTTCTGTACTAATTCTAATTACATGTTAAATAAACCTATTGTACCTTAAAAACTTAATTTGTTTAATATCATATTTTTGTTATATTGTATTTGTCCTATTGTTTGTAAAAAAAATAAAAAATCTTATTTTTAATAACAGAATTGAGATAAAATGACTTCAGAATTGAGAACAAAACAACTACATTTTGATAACATTTCTCATATTGTGAAATAAGAAGTTGGTCATATAGCCCACCCCAACCAACATCCAAAACAGAATTATAACATTATAAATGTCTTTACAGTCACTTTTGATCAATTTAATGTGTTCTTACATAAAAATAAAAGTATTCATTTCTTTAAAAAAAAAAAAATCTATATATGAATAATACTTAAAAATACTTAGATTTGATATAGTCTCTTTTACATCTCTTCCCATAATTATCAATTTATTTGCATGCTTTGCTTAAAGGGGGTCGCACACCGGACGAGAAGCACCGCGCTGCGCCGCGTCACGTCCAGGACAACCCGAGGTATCGCACACTGAACGCGCACTTTCTCAGTTTATGGCCAGCAATATTGTAATATTTAAGGACATTATCAAATCAAGATCATGTCTGTACTATGTTATGATTGTACTGTACAATTAAATACAATCGTTGCTGAGTCTGCAGTCTGAACACTTTACCTCAGAGCATCCATTAACTGAATGAATTGAGAATCTCTCCTGAAAATCCGATAACACCAGCAATTTTCGTCCACGCAGCTGATTTCTGTAAATTAATGTAAAACTAAATGTACACTGCAGCACAGGGTGAAGTCAGTATGGCGCGGCAGGATTTTGAACAAGATCCTGAGCCGTAGCTGGGCGCCGCGGACAGAGGCCGAATGGCTCTGCAGGTGTGTGTACACCCATAGAGAATAATGTGTTCGAATTTTAAAGACGTGGCGCTGCACGACACGGCGCTGCGCTTCTCGTCCGGTGTGCCACCCCCTTGAGACTGTTATTGCTGAAGAGACAGATCATATACCTTGACTGTGAGACACGGCATACAGGAGACAAAGCACAAACAGAGCCTGGTAATCCTCTGTGTTACAGTCCAGTGCATTATAGAACATGTCCAGGAAGGGCCTAGAACAACAACCAAGATAACAGCTATTTTTTCATTGTTTCCGCTTTAAATCATGCAGAAGTTTGCACAATAGAACAATGTGTAAAATACGCAACGCACACACAGTTTATAAAGACTGTATTGTGTATTGTATTGTTTGAGTGTTGCAAATGTGAAAGGAATTTAACTAGGCAAGCTATTGTCTATAAATCATGTCAAAATTAGTCTGGCTTTAAGGAGCACTCATTTATAAATGCTAGTTACCTCCCCTCTATCTAAAAATAGTCTTCAGAGGTGTAAACTCTTCTTTTTAAGTACCAAATCATGTCCATGCAGAGTATTCCTAAGAATATTGCTTTTTCACAGGCATGCCATGTACCTCTTATCTTTTGGTTTAGATAACACACAAATATTGCATTTGAAAGGCTTGTGAGCAGTCTGAACATGTCTTGGGCTCTTTTTCCTTGGAACACACTAATCTAAACAGGGAAGCTTTGCTGTACATCAATGGAACTGAGCATAAGCCAATTGCAGGGTCATCAGTTCAATGTTAATACCCACTAACACAGCTGACACTGATAAAGTCCTATTTTGGACTACAATGCAGTTTTAATGGATAGACTGAATTGTTGCTTCTCAGGTTTCTCTTCAATTAAATGTTAGAGCAGCATAGATCCACTGACCCTTACTGAAAAATGAAAATTTTGTGGATGCTCTTAAAATGGTAAAGTTGTTCATAAATGTGTTTTCCAAGCCTAAAAAAGCTTAAAAAAAAAAAAAGAGTGTGTAGTTGGTTTGTTGTGTACCTGCTTTTCTGGCCTTCGGACCGTGCTGCCGCAGCAGCACTCTTCTCTTCGTCTGTAATGTTTTGTTCTGTCAACGTGGACACATCAGAGACCCTACATTTTTCCATCACCACCATCTCAATTTCTGCAAAACACAAACACAACACAGAGTATAACAGCACAGCTGGATTTTGGCATTGTACATGTGAGATGGAAGATCCCCGCACCAAACTGATCTGAGCTGTCTAAAGTTACACTAACCCTTAAAATTATTTCATGTCTGCAGAATTTTTTTTCAAAAAGGGAAACCACTTTGGAAGTTATTAAATACCACTTTGTGGTATTTAATAACTTCCAAAACTAAATCTACCAGCCCAAGTCACAAGGGAATGTTTTCTATAGCTATATGTAATGATCGCTGTGATTATTAACAGTATGCATGTATTTATGTACAGTATAAAGTAGAGGTCTGCGCGGGACTGTTTTTTTCGTCCCACTCCCGCTAGGTTCTATTCCACTCCTACCCGCTCCCGCTTAAAATTCACTCTCTGTGCACCTGCTATCCGCCTTGAATGATTTTCTTCCCGACCCGACCTATCCCGCTAAATTTAGATCTCGTTTCGAGAATCTCAAAAGACGCGTTTCCATTACAAAAAACTATAAAAAACTATTGTGAAATGACGGCGTTTCCATTAACCAATATTATGCGACTAAAACTTAATTTTTTCCTCTCGAGATAAGTCAATATAAAAATCATGGCAACAGGTGTTGGTAGGTTTATGTAAATCCCAGTCACCGCACTAGTCATTATTTTAAATCGAAGGAGACGTAGGCGTGTTATCCGAGCATAAATGGCAAGGAAAGCCCCTTATACTTGGGAGTGGCACATATGAGGTGCTTCTCCCTCCTATCTGCTTCAAGGTCTTGATAAATTGTGGCTTTTTTTGCTGTTGTTTCGAATCTAGTATTCCCGTGATACTTTTGTCTTTTATAAGTTTAATAAAGAACTGTCTCGTCTTCTGTCCAAACACGCCGCGCTTTCTTTAAAGAATGATCAACTTTTACATATGCCAGGTGACTGTTTCCATTGCAGTTTTGCGAAATATTCCTTTTTCGAATTGCCTGAAAAACCACCTCATGCGAGCGTATAAACTTTTTTGCGATATTATATTGTTTGTGGCACTTTTCGAAAGTTGTTAAAAGTTGCCAAATAAATTTAAAAAATAGCTAAATTTGTTGCTAGGTATTTTTAAAAAAAGTTTCTAGGGTAGTCTGAAAAGTTCTAAATCTAGCAACAAAATTGCTAAGATGGCAACACTGGCTATATTATGCGCTTGATGTCCGCACAGACGCATGCAAATAAAAATGATGACGCAGAAACCACTGGTCCATGCGCACAGCACATGTATAATACAGTCCTCAGAGCAGGCTGTACAGGTGGTCGATTAGAATGAGAAAAGCGCGGATACGCTGTTGTCAAAGGATGTCAGGAGCAGCAGGGCTAATGTCAGACTGCCCGCTCCCATCCAAAGTACACCAGAGTTACCGACTGCTACCGTCTTTTATTTGGAAATTTAATCCCACAAGAATTCTTATTGGGTCCCGTGGGAATGAAGTACCCAGAGCTCCTGGAAGGTGCACACTTGATGAATAATGCTCATTCTGATAAGGGAAAATGTGTTAAATGCAGCTAAGAGCACTATACTCATACACTTTAGCCTAAATGATGATTTGTGTCATATACACAAATATATACACACACACTCCCCCTTGTGTATATATGTATTCTATGATAATGAAGTTGGTCAAAAAAACCTTTCAAAATCTAGCTTTTATTTAATATAATATATGCAAGAGTTTTACATAAATGTTGTTTAAAAAAAGGTCAGTTTTTAAAAGTTTTTTTTGACCAAGTTCATTATCATATATACACTCACCGGCCACTTTATTAGGTACCCCATGCTAGTAACGGGTTGGACCCCCTTTTGCCTTCAGAACTGCCTCAATTCTTCGTGGCATAGATTCAACAAGGTGCTGGAAGCATTCCTCAGGGAGTTTGGTCCATATTGACATGATGGCATCACACAGTTGCCGCAGATTTGTCGGCTGCACATCCATGATGCGAATCTCCCGTTCCACCACATCCCAAAGATGCTCTATTGGGTTGAGATCTGGTGACTGTGGAGGCCATTTTAGTACAGTGAACTCATTGTCATGTTCAAGAAACCAATTTGAAATGATTAGAGCTTTGTGACATGGTGGAAGTAGCCATCAGAGGATGGGTACATGGTGGCCATAAAGGGATGGACATCGTCAGAAACAATGCTCAGGTAGGCCGTGGCATTTAAACGATGCCCAATTGGCACTAAGGGGCCTAAAGTGTGCCAGGAAAACATCCCCCACACCATTACACCACCACCACCAGCCTGCACAGTGGTAACAAGGCATGATGGTTCCATGTTCTCATTCTGTTTACGCCAAATTCTGACTCTAACATCTGAATCTCTCAACAGAAATCGAGACTCATCAGACCAGGCAACATTTTTCCAGTCTTCAACTGTTCAATTTTGGTGAGCTCTTGCAAATTGTAGCCTCTTTTTCCTATTTGTAGTGGAGATGAGTGGTACCCGGTGGAGTCTTCTGCTGTTGTAGCCCATCCGCCTCAAGGTTGTGCGTGTTGTGGCTTCACAAATGCTTTGCTGCATACCTCGGTTGTAACGAGTGGTTATTTCAGTCACTGTTGCCCTTCTATCAGCTCGAACCAGTCTGGCCATTCTCCTCTGACCTCTGGCATCAACAAGGCATTTCCGCCCACAGAACTGCCGCTCACTGGATGTTTTTTCTTTTTCGGACCATTCTCTGTAAACCCTAGAGATGGTTGTGCGTGAAAATCCCAGTAGATTAGCAGTTTCTGAAATACTCAGACCAGCCCTTCTGGCACCAACAATCATGCCACGTTCAAAGTCACTCAAATCAACTTTCTTCCCCATACTGATGCTCGGTTTGAACTGCAGGAGATTGTCTTGACCATGACTACATGCCTAAATGCACTGAGTTGCCGCCATGTGATTGGCTGCTTAGAAATTAAGTGTTAACGAGCAGTTGGACAGGTGTACCTAATAAAGTGGCCGGTGAGTGTATATATATATATATATATATATATATATAAACACACAAACACACACAAGGGTAGCCTTGGGTTACTTGAAAGCCACAGGTTGGAAAAGATTGCAGTAAAAAATAAAACTACTCTAATTTCTCAACACCTAATGAACTTGCAAACCTGGTGAAGGGATGTAAAAAAGAAAAAAGTTGCTCACAAAGACAATCCTGTCTTAAATTACTTCGATGAACTTTATCATGAGTTATAGCTGGCTGCGAGTCAGACGTGGGGAAGAACGACTAAAGGAATGAATCATCACACAGAGGAGTGAATACAACAGGAGATAGGGCTTAAGCTCACTTTCCCTCTCAATTCTGACAAGATTAAGATGATACAAAAATGTTTCCCAAGGTGGGAGAGGGTGGGGGTGAGGTTTTGCCCAATCGGAGAGGTGGAGAGCACAGAATGAATGTGGACCAAAGTGACCGTGTCAAAACACAGAAATGACATGAGAAGGTGGAGTGCTCTCGCAACTGGCAAAACTTGATATAGCCAAGTAGGACGTGCTTCTGGATTAACACTGTCATTTTTGTTGGTCCTGGAACAACATTCCTATGAAACAATCAAAGACCAAACCCTAACCTTCACCTAAAATCGTCGGGAAAGGATTATACTATTGTTCAAATCAATAACCCAAGGCATAAGATCTGATTGGTTGATAGGATTATTGCTCCAACCCATATCCTACTTGGGTCAATCACAATAAAACGGTCTCCTTTTGAATTCAACGGAAGAAAGTCAGTCATGGAAGTTTGGAACAACATGAGGGTAAGTAAATTACACAATTCTCATTTTCGGGAGAGCTTTCCCTGTAAGTATTACCATATATTAGTGGAGACTGCAAGACTTTTTTTGAGAGTCAGTTTTGAGAGCAGAGCCACAGCCAAAGTGTGGTGTGATCCAAAGAATGGAGGGTCAGTCAGTCATGCTGGGACATTCATCTAGTGCTACTCACCTTCCTTGTCCCCACTTGTCCTGCTGGCCTTTGAACTAGCCTCTGTACCTTTAGCCTTTTCCTTCTCTTCTTCCGGCCCTTCCTCCGATCCTCGTTCTTCCTCCTCTTCCTCGCCCACGTTCTTGTAGTTGGGTCTTTTCTGTGCCCTCTTCCTCCCACGCTGACGACTCATCTCCAGGGAACGCTCTAGACTTTCTTGGGGCTTGGTGAAGCGACGAACACCAGCATTACACTAAAATGAAAGGACAAATGGATGAGGTGTATGACTAATATGTCCAATATTTGAGGCTCATGAAAAGTTTTCCTTTCATAATAAAAATAAAAAGAATATGTGTGTGTATACACACTTTTTATTGTTTTATATATATTTTTTCCCATATCGTCACCTTCCTAAAATAATTGCCCAAGTCATTTTTTGACAAAGATGATTTTTTTGCATAAGTCATCTTTCTGCATAAGTCATGATGCTGGCCACCTCTGATAAAATCGCCCAACTCAGTTGAACAGATCATGTAGTTCTACCCCTGTAGTCAAGAGTGTGACTTAGGCCGTTTTATTTTGCCTAAGTCAAAATACAATGAGACTTAGGCAATTTTACAAGCTTTTCAAGATGGGAGCTGCATCAAGAATAACTAAATAAATATAATATATTCAATTATTGGTTCAGTTTTTTGTGTTTTCTGAGAAACCTGAAAAAATGACTTGGGTAATTATTTTAGGAAGGTGACGATATATTGATCAGGTCAAACAGACAAAGTACAAGTACATCAATTCACAGTTTGGAGGATTTCCAATAAACAGAAACTCATTGTCTTTCAAACATTAATAAGCTTTATTAGAAACATTTGAATATAAAAACAAAAAGGCAATATTTTCTGCCATATTTCTTTTAAACAAATTTACATAATGAACCTTTTGCTGCTTGATCTCAGCACAACATATTCACACATTAACCATCTTGGATAACAGCAATAGCTGCTTTTACAACGTCTGCAGAACTTAAAGAGGCAGTGAAAGGAAAACAGTCTCTGGCTTCTCAGAAACAAGAACCCGCTAAGACAGGAAACAGCTGCCAAACAGTCTAGGACACATTTGGTAAGTGCAATACGGACAGCAGTGATGTTTCCGAGGATCTCCAATAACTCATGTGAGATGAAGCACTAGGCAGTTGCTGTTGGACAGCACACCAAAGGACCCCCAACCTCATTCATGACGACCACACAAGAGATAATACGTTCATTCTTAGAACGGCAGGAAAACACAGTGAACAATCACCTGCTCGTGGTCTCACAGAAGCGCTATTGCACTCTGAACCACTCGGTCTGCTCTTCAAAGAATGTCTGCGAGGATTCAAAGAACCCACCTCTCTACTGTTTCAAAATGTAAGATGATGTTTCTCTTCAAGTTTGAGAAAAAGCAGCTTTGAGGAACATAAATTGTATGTTAGCATACGAATTAAAAACATCTCTCGACAAAAAAAAAAAACAGGACCACAACAGGTCACAGTGACGCATACGAAGAACATGCGCCTTGCAGCTGAGAAGTGGAGCGCTCAGTAGGACGCCACACTTGCAAAAAAACCTGTGGTCAGAGACTTAATGAGTAAATTCTATTCAAAGTGCAATGTACATCACCAAGACTGAGCTATTTACGAGAAAAGACTGAAGAGATAAAAGGCAGCTGATGACCTCACTCTTTGTGTCACTGCTGTCAAGATAAGATGAATAAAAAATAAAAAAAACATCTAGAGTTTACTAAAGGCGAAAGTGTGGTCGTCTGATGCGTTGCATCCCCTCAGATATGTGTGACATAATTTTAAGAATCAAAACAACAGGTCTGTGACATCAGACTGATGCGAGAGTCCCATCCACCTCAGCCAAGCGAAGTGACCAAGTTGCATTCACCAGAACGCTTAATTGTGACAACCACTTGTTGAACTTCCAGAAACAGGTTGCTAAAGCATGCCACTAGGCTACAGGTGCGCTTCCAGCAAACTGCATAGCAGGTGTGCCTTTGCTTACACATCCACCCTGCTCACTGTGCAGCATGTAAATCATATAATGAGAAAACAGGGGAAGCTTCTAATACGGTAGCGGTTTTGCCCTTCATCTCTGCACTACATAACTTCATACTTCCTGTCATCTGCGCAAGGACCTGTTTGAAATCCTATTCTACACATCCGACGTCTCTGTTTGGTCCCTTCTGTGCTCATCCTCTACCTGCGGCTTGTGGTAAAGGAAGGTCATGTGATGTGCGTGTGTGTGTGTTTGGGTGTTAGAGGGTTGCTGGTAACACACATGTACAAGCACCTATTTCACAGGCCCTTACGGGAAAGGAAAAGTAGGTTAGAGGCAGTGTGACGACGGTGTAAGGCAAATCGCTGTGCATCAGAGCAATGAGAGCCACAGCAAAAGACAGACCAAAACTCTGCATTTATATAAGGATTCCCACCGGCTTCCTCAACCGAGCTCTTCACAACATGCCACAGCCCCACAACAGACTGTATTATCTAATCTAAACATTGATGGTCTGATAAATAACAAAAAATTTGTTTGCCTCAACTAAGTTTCAGCTTAAATGGAGACCTTCAGCAAGAAATGAAACTTGCGCAGTTCATATCAGTAATTCATGAACCTTTTGGAGCTAATGCATTCAGTTTCTAAAGAAAGAAAAAAATGATAATATGGAAGTGTTCTCTCACAAAGCAAAATATTTGTGCACTGTGGAATACTTGTCATACCATTACAAGGATAATAAAGAGAATCAATTTGAAATCTTGAAATTGTGTATCAGAGATTCCAAGAGAATGCAGTTTTTGCAGTGAGATGTTTTTGCTGCTGTTATCTGATGGTCTTTGTTTGTACAAAAATACAATATTTATTGAGCTTTGATAACATTTTGCAATTCAAAGAGTGAAAATTACTTTACTTTTGATAAACATCCTATCTGGATTTGATATATAGATAAATTAAAAGAAAGCACCAGTAACAAGGTCAAATCTTATGCATAAAAAGCAATTAAATAACATATTTAACCAATTAGCCAATCTGTGCCGAATAGCAGCATTATTGTCGGCTGGGTCAGGTATTAAAATATGAAAAAGTTTTGCAGATGCAGTTTGTTTACAGTACATGGCAGCACAGATATGCATGGTGTAAACAGTTTCGTGCAAACCAAAACAAATGTAGCAGTCAGCAAACTTCACAGCACTCATCCAAACTTAATGTCATTGTTGTGATCTATTTACCTTCAGAACAGTGTCGTTTTTTTTTATCTACTGTACAGTACAAAAACGTGTCAACAGCTCTGAAATTTGTGTTGATATTCTGAACAACACCTGCAAATCATTTTTGTTTAAATGCCTCTTTTCCTTGAACTGCTCTGAAATTTCAGTCACACAGGTCGCACATGTTTAGGGAAGCTGGGGCTGACAGATTACCGTCAGCTTTAAAAAAAAAAAAAAATGGTCAAGTAGAGCAGGCTGTGGTTAAGCCTGAGAGGTGAGACACAGAAACAGACCGCAGAAAGGGGCAGAGAATGGGAAAGGGGAAATGGCTTTTGATAATACTGACACAAATGAGTAGAGAGGCTGTTTCCCTGAAAAGGCAGCTTGACTGCCTGTTTCATTTTTTTTTTGCTGATGATGATAAACATACATTTATCAGAACAATACAGGATGGAGTACTGATGCATATCTACTATCAGCAGATACGCTGGTTAATGACCATTCTAGGAATGCACATATATTATCTGTGACCATATCATTTTCAGCCATAATTCATTTTTCCAATTCAAACTCTATGCTAGCTTTCAAAAATACCAAACTTTGACCCCCCAAAACCCTAACACTATATAATGTTTTACTCTACATTAAAGTCTCAAAAAAGGTGGGGACTATATAGTTATGTGCGCCACTACTAATTTCCATAATGTTTAAATGCAAATTTTGTAACAGGCTAGTCAACTAAGAAACCTGTATAACTGATTAATTTGAAATGGCTAACTTAAATCTGACTCAAAAAGTTGAAAGCTCTGTTGTTTGTTAGCACGGCCACCACTTGTGGTCGATTGTGGAGGGGTGGTGTTTACTAAATGAGTGAATAAGTCCAGCATACATCAATACTCACCACAGAGAAGTCTTGTCTATTCACTGAAAGATCAAGTTATCACATTGAACATATATCACATAAATCACATTGAACAAGGCAATTTTTTTTTTTTTTTTTTAACTCATGCAGGGAATATCAATAAGACTTTAAAATAGTATTGATTTCACTTTAAACGCAGTTGTTTAGAAACAGCCCAAAATATATAGATTTAAATAATCAAGGACCAATGGTGATAAGTCATAAAAATAACTATCTTCTATTTATTTTAGGAAGTAAATGACATCAGATGAGAGGTTGCTACTGTATGGTGTTTAATTCATCAAAGTTGTTTCAAATCCCCAACCCTAAGAATAAACAATAGCAAAAATGAATAATTATCAGCTAGTATTGCCTAATTTCTATATCACTGCAAACATATTTAAACACTACTCAATGAAATGCTACTAACATCTACAGTTCAAGCAAGCATGACATTCTCCTCACACACACACTCTCTCAGAAACAAATCTGACATTTAAGTGATTTTGTTTTTGCCAGGTACAAGAGAATGACTCAACCCGGCAAACATTCGGGACGCTTTTATTGCAAATATTTGCATATGTGAATATGCACGGCTTGGCCCGGATTCTGATATCCAGACAATATAAAAAATATATATATAGAAAAAAACAAGTTATGTGCTACAGGCTGCACTACACAATCAGTCTCATATCCACCTACACGCTGCAGTGATGTCTGCTGTGCAGAAGATTTTCAAAGCAGCCCATTAACACCACTGATATCGCAGTGTTCTAATCTGCCTGCCTTACCTCAGTGTAAATACCCTCATGAAAATAACAAGAGCACAGGCAAACCGCAAAGAAGAATTCGCTTCTCCTCTTCAATCATTTGGTCCACAGACTGGAGCAGCGGCATTTCAAAACCATCTGTTTTCTGAGAAGCTTATTTGGGGGGTCTGATACGCATATTTTATTAAAAAAGGCACAGTGAGACTGTAGCGCTTGACTGACATATTTTAAGCGATGAAGAGACGTGATAACAATTAGCAAGTTAATCGGACACATCACTGTAAAACGGACACATTGATTGAACTTTCCTTGAGGTAGAGGAACTTTTGGGCAGTCTGATGTAGCCATGACAGCTCTTTGCCACCAAGTAAATATCAAAAATCAGTGCTAACGTTTAAAATGCAAAAATATTTATTTCACTTCTGAATTCTAGATCTAATGAGCCGTAGGTAACATAAACAAAAATTACCGTTATTTTCCAGTCTATATACGTTTAGCCAGATTTTGTGCTGCAAACATCCATGACAACTTTTAACTTATCCATGCTGGCAAATAATCATGGTGCCACCCGACGTGAATTATAAAAATGATTTTAGTACGGCCATTCAAAACCCAAAGGTCAATCATGTCGCATATAAAGCAATCAACAATAGAATAATGTTTGGCACCGATGAATGTGTAAACAGATATCAGATACCAGTCGTGTCTAAAGTGAATGTAAACAGGTATGGCAAAAAAACACAAAAAACCCCAGATATGGTCAAAAGATCAGATGTGTGCATTAAGACAGGCAGTGTAAACGCAGCCTGATAAACCTCTCACTGCTTATGAGAGTGAGATAGATCTACTAAGTGCCTGTAATTGAAGAAGAGAAATAAATGCCCTTTAAACTAAATGCACATTCATATGACTCGCACGAGGGCTGTAATGCACCGAGATTCATGTGCCGCTTTGACCTTCACATAAAAAGCATGATGGCCAAAAAAAAGAAAAAAAGAAGCAGTTTTACAAGGTTGCTTTGAAACAAGAGAGCGGGAAGCAGGGCTTGGGCGATATGGCAAAAAATATGATCACAATATTTCTTTTTTTCATATTGATTGGTATAGAGATTTATCATGATATATAAATTGATAATGCTGCCAGCTTGAAGAATATCCTGACAGTGACTGAAGACTGGAGAAACCGGAGGGTTCATTGATTACATTTTATTAACAAAAAAAGGATAACATAAATGTAAACTTTTAACTTTTGGCTAGGTTCCAGGGTGCCCTAAAATAAAATAAAATAAAATAAAATAAAAAATAAATTAAAATAGTGGCAACAAAAATCAAATATTTGAAGAGGTACCACCTTTACTAAAAAACAAGTTAACTGTTAGATAAAATAAAGTTAAAAAATATTAACGATACACTGGTTTTACGTCTATAAAATGATTTAGAGGTAGAAATTTGAGTAAACAGTGCAAAATGTAAACATTCTAACCAGTCATTATGCTACACAGTTTAACACGGGACCGCATGTTATCGCTGGAATGGTACCTTTTCAAGTGATGGAAAAGGTTTGTTTCCAACAGACAGGATGTTTTAACCACCTGGTCCATTCACACAGAATGCATTTTTTGCATTTTACTGCACTACTTTTCCATTGCATTTCTATGTAAACATAGAACGTGGACACGTTTGACGTTGTGCTCGCGTCTTTTGTCAAGTGTGGGTATCTGCAGGTCGAAGTAATGGGCTTGCCAAAAGGTCTTTACAATTGGTCGCGAAAGCTGCATGTTAGGGTGTAGGGTAGAGTTTGTTTATGTTGTAGCACTGTGTAACTGTCCGCTGTTAAAAGTTCAACTATTAAAAACATGTCTCAAGAGCATGTGTTTTTTTCTTGCATTTTTAACTGCAAAATGCAGTTTTTTGTGAGAATCTTAATCTGCACTTATTCTGTGCATTTAAGAAACCCAAACCAGTTTATAATTGACGTTGTATTACCTTTTTTCAAAAATTTCCTCGGCTTTAGAGGGTTATGCAAGTTAGGTTTCGCTTTCGCTTTAATTTCACTCGCCAGCTACCTACAGACTCATTGACTGATCGATGTTGTCGCGTTTATTTCTGCTGTGTAATACACTAGTGCTAATCCATATCTAGTAAAACTGTCCAGAGCTTATCATCGTCATTGACATAATTTTTTATTAATGATCTCGATATGATATCACCCAGTCCTAGCGGCAAATGTGTAAAGTTAATGGTAAAAATAGTGATTCCAAATGCAGTGATATCATTCTAGTTTGACATGTTAAAGTGTTCATAACACAGTGCCAAGGTCATGTAAAAGGCATTTAAAAACAAGATTTTTAACTGACTAGGAGTCACTTGTTCCCTACTAAATGGTTCATGGCTTCTTGTAGGGATCAATCCTGAATCCATCTGGTTACCTGTTGAATAAACTTCCAAATGAGGATGCCAATGGGCAGATGTACTCACTAAACTCTTGTGAGTGCTCTGTTCTGTCTGCACGGTGAACACCGACAGGTCTCCATTCAGAATGACATCGGCCAGGGAGTGGACGAGAGGCTGGTAGTGGATGATTAGGAACACCTATGACAGTGGGGCATCATATGTTGTCACTTGACCACATGCATACAGCTCACACTGTGTGTATCGTGGCTATTCTACTCATTGCAAGTCTCAACAAAACCAAAGTATGTTTCTGTACCTGTGACAGCAGGTAGAGCGACACCTGAGGGTTGATCTTGCGGTCTTCGGACTGGAAAAATAAATATTGTCATGTAAACAAGTTTGTTTGGAGTGGAAATAGCCAGAAATTACATCATCATCATCCTTGAATCACTACTATATAGTTCAAAAGTATAGTTACAGCAACATGAATTTTTTTTGGTCAAAATACTGTTTTCAACATTAATAATAATAATAAATGTTTCTTGAGTAGAAAATCATCACATTAGAATGATTTCAGAAGAATTATGTGACACTGAAGACTGGAGTAATGATCCTGAAAATTCTGCTTTGCCATCACAGGAATACATTTTCAAAATATATAAAAAAAAGAAACAGTTACTTTAAATTGTAATATTTCACAATATTAATGTTTTTACTGTATTTTTGATCCAACAAATGCAGCCTTGGAGAGCATAGGACACTTTTTTTTTAAGATACATTAAACCAATCTTAACAACCCCAAACGTTTAAACAGTACTAGAGTATCAAAGATTTCTATTTTTGTATTAAATGTTTATTATTGCAGCGCAGTAAGGATGTATCTTATCACAAGTAAACTTCTCCGTAATGCTGTAAAGATATGAGTGAAAGGGAAATTGAAATCTTGAACTTTTGCATGCTGAATTTATATAACATTAAGATTGTTATTACCAACACTTCCAAATGAGAAAGTAAAAGTTTATTGGAAGCCATTAACTTTTATGATTTCAAAAGTCATAAATGCTCAATAGGAAAAAATAAGGGCGTGTTCACACTTGGCATCTTTGGTTCGATTTAAACGAACCCTGGTGCGAATGCTCTCTTAGTGCGGATCATTTGAACGTTTGAACGCTGCCATCCGAACCCTGGTGCGCACCAAACAAGCTTCCAAGACAACTCTGGTGCGGTTCAAATGATATATGAATGCAACATGGACCAAAGACATGTAAACGAACCAAAAACAGGAAGATGAGACCCTAAGAAGGACAGAATGCTCATGTACATCGTTTTTTTCGCAATGCTGCCCATCACAGTTCAGTACAAGCATCAGAACCACATCTCCACGCAGCAGATCTTCGTTTGTGTGTGTGACGGAGGGATTCCTGCTGCTGTTTTGAACAGTGATGGGGACGAGACCGCCAATGCCGAGTCCGAGTCAAGACCGAGTCTTTGAAGGGTCGAGTCCGAGTCGAGACCGAGTCTTTGAGACCGGACTCGAGTAACTTACTACATCACTAGTTTTGAATCCTTCAGACATTTTATAAGCTCTTCACGAGTTCTCAGCTGGTCAAAATACCATCATATGCAGGCTACGCACATACAACGGGCGCATTTAGCCCAACACACAGCATTGTTTTGTCGTTCAGTAAGTTCCGTTTTAAAATAACCAATACATCATTAAAGCCGACCAATCAGGTTGTGAACGTATCCCAATGCCTTTAGGTTCGGTGATAAAAATGGCAATCTGAAGTAGTAACGCCCGTTTCACACATACTCCGTGTGCAGTGCGTGTTGCGGTACGTATGCAGTACAGGAGCAGCACGTGCTACAGTGCTTTCACATATGCTGCGTGCGTTTGCAGTGCGCAACTGATCCGCGGCTGTACCACAAACACATTTACTCACTATTTGTATTTCAAATCATCAATCAAATCAAGTTATCAGCAACTTTCATTTAAAAAAAAGTTGTGTCACCAGTCCGATTCTCTTTGTACACATATACACTCTTTAATAGACGTATTCACGTTTAAACACAATTTAAACAACGTATTATTCAATGCATTACTTTTATATAGATTATATAGCCTATTAAGTTGCTCAAGCAAGTGGTAACATATTTAACCATATACTTATATTAAAATCGCAAACATTTTAAATTAAAACTTAAAATTGACAAAAACAGCAGACTCATACCTTTTCTTTTGCATAATTTTAATCTTTATACAATAAATCTTGCATGTCAACGAATGAGACGAGTGTCGTTCATTATGTGGCCTTGTTGAAGTAAATTGTAGCTTTCCTTGCTTTACCCCGGTCTTAAAGTAAAAAGATGACCATGAAAAGTAGTAGTATTTAATTAAATGCATTTATGGTGAGATTACATTTTATTTAATTAAATGCATTTTATTATGAAATTACTACATTTTCATGTCAATTTGTGTTCACTTTGACCACGAACTATGCGCTGTCACTTTAATTCAGCGCGTGCAGCACAGCAGAAATAGACTCGGCGCGTAAACGATCTCTGCACTGCTGTATACGCACCTGGAACGGATCGACGGACTGCATCCGCGTGCAGTGTGAAAGCTCTAACCTGTTAACATGGGTACGGAAAAAAATAGGCACCGCATACGCACTGCAAACGGAGTATGTGTGAAACGGGCGTAAGCGGACCAGGACTAAATGTTTTTTTTTGGTCCGGATAAAACGAACCAAGCGAACCAAACTACAAGTGTGAACACACCTAAAAAAAATGTATAAATCACCAAAATATAGTGAACTTATATTGCAATACTATAGTGTATCAATTTTATTCACTCACCTAGTACAATGGTTATGCAAAGTAAGCCTGGAAAAAACACAGGTGTGGCGAGCAGGACGAGGTCGAGGGCCGTGGGAGGACGGGGCGAGGCCGGTGGCTTGATTATTAATGAGCGACACCTGCACGGCGCTCCGGTCTCGTATCTTTCACAAAGGAGGGGAAGCATAAAAGGAGGAGCGACGACAGTGGAGATCGAGAGAGGAACAGGCCTGATCTTATGTGATGTTTTGTGTGGCCAGCAGTTGTCCTCCCACTGCCCTCGACCTCGTCCTGCTCGTCACAACAGGCCTACAAAGACGTATGCTAGTTGTTTTTCAGACATGTGTAGTTGTGTCCTCACCTGCTCTTGACTGACCAGAGAGTACACGTAGAGGGGCAGGAACAGGCGGTTGAGCAGGTGGTCCGTCAGCACTTCATTGAGAAACTCACAGTTGATGATGAGGATGTCGTTCAGATAGTGGAGATGATCCAAATGCTCAGCTACCAGATCGCTGAGTTTTCCTCTGTTTTTATGTCTGATGAAAATAAGTATAGATGGGGAAAAGTGCAATATTTTAATCATATATGTAATAAGCAGGCTATCCCTGTGTCCCAATGTCAATACTATCCCTCCTAAATAGTATAATGCGAGATTAGAATAAGTGTGTCCCAAAGCACAGTATGTTGAAAAGAATGTGTCAAAAGTCCCCGGATGGTCAACTATTTCCGGTACATTTTCGAAGTGTGAATCCGTGCACACTATCAAGGCTTATATAGCGCTTTGTTTGGGACACAGCATTGGTTTTGAATTCAGATGGTTTAGTAAATAATTTCCACAGTGATCCACTGTGCTCTATAGTGAGACCTAGTGGTGCGGAGATGAACTGCACATAAAAAAGTGTCATGAAAACCTTACTCTTCATCAGTCTGCACACACTTGTCCAGCTCGATGACGTGGCTTCCGATGAACCAGACCAAATTGGAGAAGTACGGCACGGCCGTTTTGTCCCTGATGTAGTGGAGCATGTGCTGGTTGTCCACTGCGGGAAAGGACCAAAAGCAAACACAGTTATTCAGGAACTGTGAGGTTTAATAACACAACGGCGGCAGACACAGTGATGGAGAGAGAAAGAAGGTTAACAGAGCAATGTGCAATGTCATTGGTCAGATGTTGGAGGGTTATGTAAATTACGTTTTCTATGCAGAGTCACTAAAGGATGCTAAGTTGGACTATATTTTTTCCTATGCAATAAACAAGTCCTGTACTAAAGCATGCTGAGAGTATTAGATGTTGCAAAATGATTCTAAGCTTGTAAAGGCGTACTATGCAATAAAACAGTAGCAAAAGAATAGGGTTCTTGGTGGGTGCTACTTAATCAACTAATAAACTGAATACGAATATAAAATGGGCCTGTTTGTTTTGTCTTGTGAGGTTTGGAATAATCTGAGATTTGATGGATGGATCATAATGTAGGTTGATCTGTATCCAAGATTATGGATGCTATAATGATCAGTTAGATGACTAGAGGCCGCTCAATGAACCTCAAGCATCTTTTCTTAGAAAATTCAATTAAAACACACATCCAACTGACACTGCCAAAATCACCACGAACGCCAAAAAGAGGGTTTAAATAAAAGCACAGTGCAAAATAAGTGTATTTGTTTAACTATTATCAGAGTGTCAATTGCAAACCTTCTGTGTATACAGACAAAAGAAGCAACTGTTTAAAAAACAATTCAAGAGAACATGCAATACAAGCGGCACAAGAAAGTTCTGAATTTGACCAACTTACATGACACTGGAATAAGGCACACAGGACAGGAGTCACCATAGAGGGAGAGGGGAAGAACAGATAAAGGGTTAAACAGGATGAAGGGACTGAGCTAGTGGAGCTCTGGGCCCTAGAGGTCAAAAAATGAAACAATAACACCACCTAGTGGCTGATCCTAAACCTGCACAAAAGCGCATCTGGAACCAAGAGAACAGCCTAAAAACACTAGACATATAGACCAGCCACATGAAGCTGCCAGGACATGCTAAAAAGCAAAGGTAAACCATACCACCCAACTGCTTATTCTGACAATCAGGGATTTTAACTGCTTTCTTGCTATTAATTCAGAGCACTTATAGAATAATTATACATGCGATCTGCCATATCGAGAATGTCATCTGTACCCCATGTGGCCACAGAGTATTCCAAGTTTTCAAACACTTAAGCGACACTTATAAATGAATGAATGTCATTGCATTATATAAAATAAAAAAATATGCATAGTATATCTACCATTCAGAAGTTTGGGTTCAGTAACTTTTTTAATGTTTATAAAATAAGTATCTTATGCTCACTATGTTTGCATTTAATTGTATTTTTTTTTTATAATAATACAGCAAAAACAGTAAAACTGTGAAATATTATTATAATATAAAATAATGTTTTCTGTTTTAATTTTTTGTATATGTCATTTATTCCTGTGCTGTGATCAAAGCCTTTCTGATCCTTCAGAAATCATTCTAATATGATGATTTGATGCTTAAGAAACATTTCTTATTACCAATGTTGAAAACAGTGTGCTGCTTAATATTTTTGTGGAAACCGTGGTAAAAAATTTTCAGGATTATTTAATGAATAGAAAATTCTAAATAACAGCATTTATTTGAAATTGAAATCTTTGGTAACATTATAAATGTCTTCACTGTCACTTTATTTAATGCATCCTAGGTGAATAAAATTTCTTTCAATCGTAAAAATCGTACTGACCCCAATCTTTTAAAAGGTAGTTCCAAACAAACTGATTTTTAAGCCATAAATTATAACCAAGTGACCATGGGACCCCACATTTTTTTCTAGCTGACCTACCTATAAAATAAAACATGATCTGTTCTCTGTAAGATTTGTTTAATCAATGGCACATAGGTATTTTGTTTCATAGCCGGCCTACATTTGTCAAATGACTAATAAGAAAGATTGTTTTTGCAGCTCTACCTATTTTATGCATAAAATATAACAACAACTGGCATTTTATTTTAAAGAAAGGTTGTTTATTTAATGCAATGACAATCATACATTTTTAAGTGTTGGCTACATCTCCAAATATTATTTGGGGCCACTGTATGCACATGAACATCAGTAACATGCACCAATGGTACAATCTCCACAGACACTGATTGTTTGGCTATAAGATGAACCACAATCCAAGGGTAAGCGCCAAGCAGATAGTAAGAAATGTAAAGTCAGTTTTTCAAGAAGGGAAGACGGATTTAGGTAAAGCTCAAGCCAGAGAAACAGATTGGCGAAAGCCCTTTTGTTTTCAGCACATGACCATACCCAAGTGAAACCCCAGTGTGCACGTGCATGTGTGTAGAGTCAGCAGCGATCACTGAATGTAAGTGTGCGTTACTCACGGATGGCGGAGAACAGAGTCAGCATGCCCATGCATCAGAGGCATGACAGAGCGATTGACAGCAGAGAGAAGGATCGTACGTCAGGGCTCTACTCACCTTTGTACACATTGAGTGTGATAGTCCTGACCGCGATCCTGACCATGCTCTCTGGGTGGTTGAAAAACTTAATGGCCTCCGTGTACAGGGCAAAATCATTAGTGTGCTAGAAGCATGGGAGACAGAGAGTGAGGCCATCAGCAAGGAGGATTAGCTCAGAGAGAGGAGAACTGCAACTAGTGACAAATACACAAAACCTGTACTTTTATTCTCTTATGTGAATCCAGGACGTCTACAAGAGCAGAAGAAATGGGTGCATGCATAACATCACTGAACTCGAAAAGCGTCCCTGAACAAAATGCTACTGGCTGATAAATAGGTTTAAAATCCATCTAATCAAATCCTTGTTATATATAGTCCACACACAACGGACTTCAATGAAGTTGTGACTTGCCTCTTTTTTAGAACTGAATAATTTAGGTAGTGACAAGTATGTACACTACTATTTAAAAGGTTTGGAGTTGGATAGATTTTTTAAATGTGTTTGAAAGAAGTCTTCTATGCTCACCAAGGCTGCATTTATTTGAACAAAAATACAGTAAAAAAAAGTTGATATTTTGAAAAATGATTACAATTTAAAATAACTATTTTATATTGTAATATATTTTAAAATGTAATTTATTCCTGTGATGGTAAAGCTGAATTTTCAGCATCATTACTCCAGACTTCAGTGTCACATTATTCTTCAGAAATCATTCTAATATGCTGATTTGCTGCTCAATAAACATTTTGTATTATTATGAAGTAATATTTCTGTGGAAACCGTGATACATTTTGGTTACACTTTATTTTAAGATGTCCTTGTTACAGTGTAACTATACATTTGCGTACTGAGTAGTAATATTAATTAACATGCACTTGGCTATAATTAGGGTTAGGTTTAGGGGTTAGTTGCATGTAATTAGGCATAATTTACTGTTATTACAACAGTAAGTACATGTAACAAGCAACAAGGACACTGTAAAATAGTGTTACCTACATTTTTTATGATTCTTTGATGGAGAAAAAAAGCAGCATTTATTTGAAATAGATTTTTTTAGTCCATCAAAGAATCATAACAATATATGTTCATCAATTCTTCATGTTTTATCAATTCTATTATTAGAATTGATAAAACATGAAGAAATGATGAACATATATTGTCAAAATAATCAAGTGAGATTAACTTCTCTTTATTCGTAAAGTGATTTCATTTTTATGCTGTGATTTAGAGAATTAATTTACTAATAATATGTCTCTGTTCGCTACATTAGTTCGGTTAGCAATACAAGTTAAACTCCTTCCATGTTTCTTGTTTACCACGAGATGCCAAAATGTTGCTATGGTTATCACTATCACAACCATAATGAGTTCAATAGAGACTCATGTGGTTCCTCAAGCATTTTGCTTTGTTATAATGTCATTCAGATACATTACACTGATCTGGGTTTATATTCTACATTCAAGCTGATTCTAGAGAAGCTGGCCCAGAGAGAAGGAAATTAATAGTTGAATAAAGTCGTTATTTTTGTTTGTTTTTTGCGCACAAAATGTATTCTCGTCGCCTGATAAACTAAAGATTGAGCCACTGTAATCACTTGGGACTATTTTAACGATGTCTTTAACTTTTCTGGGCCGGCCAGTTTCGATCCCTTAAGAAGCCTATGGAGGAGTGAGACAGCTCTCAGATTTAATCAAAAATATCATAATTTGTGTTCCGAAGATGAACAAAAGACTTACGGGGTTGGAACAACATGAGGGTGAGTAATTACTGACAGAATTTTCATTTTGGGGTGAACTAACCCTTTAACTTCAATTTTACATTAGGAGAACATATTTACAATTAGTGCAGCATCAGATCTCTCATAGAGCAAATCCTTCCACGCAGGCCCTCTCCATTCCTGACACCAATAATTAACAGCATCAAAGGTGCCACGGAATAAAGAACACATGACGGTTAAATACAACCATTTACAGTACACCAATAACTTCCCCCTATACAAAGGAGCCCTGAAACATTTCTGTCACTTTCCAATCCACATAAAACAGTTGTAAACTTATAGCTGGCCTGCATTTGTCCAAAATGAAAGAACATAATTGCTCAAGTTGGATGAACACACAGGAAACACGGTTTTACAAAGTCACGGTGAACTGTTAGGTCTTCCTGGAAGTAGTCTGTTACACACAGAATGCATGCGAGCCCACAAATAAAAGCCCCTTTGCTTTCTGTATATATAAACCATCATTTGAAAAATGACAGTTGCCCCAGTAAATTCACCTTACCTCATTGTAGAAGAAGTGCACTGTGTGGTTGTTGAGTTTCAGAGACAAAGTCTTCAGAAAGGAGATATAGTAGGCCATAATTTCCTCGTCAGAGAAGTCAAATTTATGCACAATGATGGAATTAACATGATTATTGGACAGCAAGTAATCTAAAAAGAAAAGGAACAACATATTAAATGTTCAGGACATAAACAATAATTTAGAAGGCATCAAATTTTAACTTAGTCCGGGGGTTTACTCACAGAGAGAAGTCTCATGACTGATGTTCTCGAAAAGGATGTTGAGTGTTTGCAGAAGCTGGACACACACATACCGTCCGGATTTCTGCCGTAGTATGTTGAGGAAAAACGCAAACATGTTCTTCTCCAAAAAGAAGCTACAAAGAGAGGATGATGCTTACAATCATGAAAATGTGATTTTGTATTTTAGATACACTATCATTTTATTGCACATGTAGCATGTGGAAACACTTCAAATGTAAGAATAACAAAGAGATGTGAAACTCACTCAAAGACAGAGCTGTCATTCTGATCACCCCAGATGAGAATCTCAGTAATGGAGCGAATAGTTTCCACCAGCAGATTTCTGTTGTGGTCAGTCACTGTTGTGTTCTTTGTTAGGACATGGTACATATACCTAAAGAAATATTAATAAAACAGGCTACTACTTAAATGCCGCAATATATTTCATATTATGACTAACTAACTTATTTATTTGTAACGAATTTGAGATCGTAACGTCCATAAACCAGTTCTGCATAATAGAAAACTAGGCTACTTTTAGTTAATGAAAACAGATAACTGTATTTAATATTCTAACCCACCAAATCATATAACCGTGTGTTAACTACAGCTATGGCTCAAAATATAGTGTTATATAATTTTTAGGAAACATATTATGTGCAAATGTCACAAAATGATGTCTTGGTAGGCAGCTCACTAGATTTTAACACCAAGTCTACGACTGCTACAGACAGTTTTGGTCCTATGCGCTCAGTTTAACATCGTAAATAAATTGTGTCAGGCGTAGTATGAATGTTTACATTTTCTAAATGGACTATTAGTGACTTCCACAGTAATGACATTCACTACCTGAATTAAAAAGCTAAAACTGCACGAGCTGCGCTAGCGACTTAGCTGCAAAAGGTCCATAAAAACTTACTTCAAATGATCCAAAGAATGAATGTTTTTGGACTTCCCCTGTCCTCCGACCCAACTCCTTGAACGGCCGAACATTTTCTTAGATATTGTTATTTCCCAATATGTATATTTTAACACAATTTGCTATGCGAATGGATCCATATCCGCAGCAGTGAAGGCCTAGAATCCTCCGAATCCTCACATGAAAACATACCTGCCGACCTAGCGCTCATGACAGCCCAAACGTCCGCTCAATGTCATTATGGGATTTGTAGTTTATTGTTGAAGTTGATAGAGCGAGTCTGCATCCGTCACTAGACCATCGCGGACTCAATTTCACATAGTTCCGTGCGAACGCAAGGGTTTTGGTGAAGTCATGAGAAAGCGCCGTTTGTTTTGTTTTTCACGCGTTATTAAGCTTCTACGATTCTCTGGACGACTTTTATTTCTGAATTGTATGCATCGCTAGCCTTTTAAGAGGGATTCGGGATATTTTTGTCCTAATGTCAAAGAGCAGCGAGCGGCCTTGGAATATTCAAACATGCTGTTCTTCACTAACTTATTTGCTGTAGTGGAATGCAAGGGGAATACTGCTGAAAAGGGAGTTGCATCACTGCGTTTTTGATTGAAATGGATAGATCCGCACTGACTTGTCTCATATAAACTGTTTAAATGCTTTCAATTCATTCAGTCTGTTCAATGAGACTGAATCATATGTTTTTGAGTCTATGACACACTCAATTTACTCTCGGTTAGATTCAGTGGAATCGCTAATCAACGAGCTTCCATATATGTTTTATCTCGGCCTATTTTTTGTCAATGTCTTAATTCTTTACTATGCCTTTTTAATGGAATACATAGTCCTTAATGTAGGGATAGTATTTTTGCCAGAGGATATGGACCAGGCACTGGTGGATTTGGGTGTTCTCTCTGACCCAGCCTCTATTCCCTATGACACAGACACTGAGCTGGATGTTTTTGAGGGATATCTGGAATAAACTACTATGACTGGCTATCCCAGTCGAAGCTTTTGTGGGGAAGATGTCATCTGGCCGATTCATTTGGTGGCTGGAGAACCATTGTCAAAGGGAACTGCATATCATCTCTGCAGACGTAAAAAGATGTTGCAGTGTGCAAATTATAAAAAAAATGACTTTCATGAATGAGTAAGTAATGTTAAGGTCAGTTTTTAGGTCGATTCATACTCAAAAAATAAATGTGCATTAATTGTCGTGTCTCCACAGGCTGTCCATGTTCAGGGGACTGACCTGCAAGCAAGCCACCGTGCCACATGGAATATTTACCTGGAACAGATAAGCCGAACGCACTATGTGGTTTGCCATGAAGCCGCCAGTCAGTATCTCTTCAGAGATTAAATTCGGGCACTAACCACTACTGTGGATATAAATGTCACATCAGCCTATTTATTTTTAGTTTGGCATTTAGCACTCAAGCAGGATTCTGTGTCAGCCCTGCAAGGGCTTGTTATTACCTATAGACAACTCGCTTATTTATACATGGTCTGCCTCAGCATGGTTTCATTCCCTTTAATACTATTCAAATGAGCAATACATCATGAGACAAACAGGGTGTTCTTGAGTTTTTTTTCTAAAAGACTCTCTTTGAAACCGCATATTTGTGACAGCCTGAAAAAATGATATATTTGAGTTTCAGTTACCCACTCTATATATATTTAATAAATGATTAATTGCACTTTTTGTGTTGCCATGGTGTCACATTTGACTTTCAAATATCTGTTGCCATATTACAAAAACATACTGTGTTAACAGTGGACTTCCCTGAAATTGCCTATCCTGGCTTTAAAACTCAATTTAATGACTCGTTGTGTATCCATCAAGTAAAAAGTCATTGACATATATTAACATGTTACATAGGATAGATAGCTTGGAAAGATAGATAGATAGCTGCTCCCAACGAGCTGGATGGCGCCTTGCATGGCTGACACCGCCGTCGGTGTATGAATGAGTGAGTGAATGGGTGAATGTGAGGCAAAATGTAAAGCGCTTTGGTGGCTGTGCGCTATATAAATGCAGTCCATTTACCATTTAGATAGATAGATAGATAGATAGATAGATAGATAGATAGATAGATAGATAGATAGATAGATAGATACCCCTAACTGAATAGTAATAACTAATGTTCAAATTGAATTATTCTTATTCATTATAAATGTTTGATTTATCTGAAACTGTCACAATCATGAAAACCAAACTCATAGAACTTGTTTATTGTAAAAAACAAACAACAACAGAACAATAAGTAGCTTTAGTGCTGAGAAACAGTATATCCACAAAAATTTCAGAAAGTGCAAGTCAGATGTAAAGTAATTTCAGTGAGAAAGTTGAACAACTTTTTGAAGCAGTTTAGTGTCCTCTGGCAAATATCGATGAACTAATGAATTGTATAGTGAATGATGCTTTTATAAAAAACTAAAATCCTTGCTTATTGTAACAGTGTCTAATATGTAGCCATTTTAAAATGTGTCAAAGTGATCTTATCCGTGGATCTTGAAGACGAAGGTGTTCAAAAACTCCATATGGAATGCAGTCATTCCACAGCCTGAGGGAGAAGAAAAAACAAGATCATTTGCATATCATGAAAAGCATATAAGCTATATAATGATGAATAATAATGGACATAATTCATAATCTTAGTGACTGTGGTCAGATTTTAGAGATTAATTTCTGTTCTATTTACTGTTTTTCAACTAGCTCAAATGTGATGCTTAGTCTTAGTTAGTAGAGATGCAAGTATCTGAGACCTAATACAAGAAAAAAAGTTTTGAAAATAAAAGTTAATGTACTGGCCTATCAGACCAATATCCCAAATGATGTTAAAGATTAGACACTCACTCCAAAGACTTCATTCCATTGCAGTTTTTCAGAGCAGCACTGAGCTTTGTAGCTCCAATATCTGTGAACTTGTTGAACTTAACACTAAAAAGTAAATAACAAGAAATGCATGGATATAATGTAATAAAATAACATTTCTTACATTTTATTTGAATTGAAGACAATTGGAATAGAACAAAAGAGAAACCAAAGGTCAAACATGACTAAGATATTTAAATTACCGAAACAAAATAATTTTTATTGTTGTTTAAATATATTTCGAGGATTAAACTTAATTTGGATAAGTACTTACTCCAAGTCCTGCAGGAATTTCATGTCTGGTAAAACCAAGGCCAGGTGTTCAGCTCCACTGTCAGCAATCGCATTTCCATACAGACTAGAAGTGAGGAAAGTGGAATAATTGTGGCAAAACAGTGAGGTTTTTATAAACAGTTTTAAAATTCAGGTTTTATTTTATATAGTTATTTCCGAGAGTGACTGTACCTGAGGCTCTGTAGAGAAGGGATTGAGGCCAGAGCTTTAGCCAGTTTCTCCACACCGGCATCTCCAATTAAGTTTTGAGACAGACTGTGTGGTGGGAACATTGGTCAGCAGTGCAGTTGTGACAGTTCCTTTACAACTTATAATCATGTGGAAAATGGAGTCTTCCAGACACTAAATGTGTTATATTTAAGGGCATAAATGTTTCATAACTTACTTTAGCAATTTCAGACATGCCAAAAACTGTAAAACGCCAGATAGCTTCTCAGCTCCAGAGTCTCCTATTTGGTTTTTCTCAAGACTGAAAGACAAAAAAAATAAATTTCTTAAAATCTTTTTTCTGATCCAACTTGCGACATAATCCACCACAGAATACTCACTCCAGATGTTGGAGAGACTGCAGAGAAGGTAGGACCTCTATGAGTTTAGGGAAAAGTTCTGGACCATTCTGGACTCCAAGCCTACAATGCAGAACACAGCACCCAATATAAGCACAACTGAATGGATAAAAGGATAAAGGAAAAACGAAATGCAGGAGCCGGAAAAGATGAGAGTGAGATTTGCATACTCAAATTCTAGTCTCTGCAGATGCTGGAGTGCTGGTACACCTTCATCCAGTGCAGAAACAAATTCACTGAAAATACAGCCATTCTCCTTATCAACATCATCATTTTATGCCACAATTGGAATTGAAAAACAGACAAACAACGATAGTCATTGGATGTTGTATCAACATAAAATGATTCTGTACCTCATTGGTAACTTCTTCTCTCTGTGAATTTGGACAAGGCCAGGCAGGCTCTCTATGTGATAAACTTGTGTTGCCTTGAATGGGTTCAAGGTGAATTTCTCAATGGCTTTTTTCAGGTTCAGTTCATCATTGCTTTGATGCAAGACCTCCCATAAGCCAATGGTGTCTGCTGTATGTGCCCTAATGGAAAAACACATACAATAAAAATACAAATGAAAACCTTTTGCTTAAAGCGCTAATTCGCTCAAAACTGAAAAGTCTGTCATTTACTCATCCTCATGTTGTTCCAAACATCCTTGCTTCTGTGGAACACAAAGGCAGAAAAGTTTTCGTTTCTGTTTTCCATTGAATTAAAATGAACTTCGAAAAGGTATTCTAAGAGGATATGAAGTATCATTAAAGTGGTCAATACAACTTGTGTGCCGTTTTTAAAATCTTTCTGACTCAATGAATAACTACTTGAATTTCGGTCTGATCATCACACAAGCTTTTGATTGACTTGGAATAGAGAACAGACTACATTTAAGGTGCTTTTACATCCTTTTTGAACCTTGAAAGCTTCAGTTTTCTGTCATTGTAATTGCATTAGAATTAAAACAATCCTCAACTTTTCTATTTTTGTATTTTCACATACAGGTTGTGGGTGGAGGGTGAATAAATGATGACAATTTTCAAATTTTTAGGTGAACTCTTCTTTTAGCAATGCAGTTTCTCACCAGAATGATTTGATACATTTGAGTCCCACAAGCTCTTTCAGGCCACTGATGGGAATGCATGTATCTTGCAGGTTAATGGAGAAGGTCCGCTTCATTGCGCTGGCATGCCGGAGGAGATGGCATATGACATACACGTCTGAAGGGCAAAGCTGCGCCCCACAGAATGACAGATTTCCGGGCAGGTTTTTTAACAGCAGTTTGGCAATTTTGGCTCTGTTGGTCTCATAAACACAATGAAACAGTTCTAATAACCTGGCAGGAACCAAATCTTTAGGCTTCATTCTCTCCAGATGGGCTTCAACAGCCTTTCTTTTGGCCTTTATGTTGACACTGCTGTCCAGGATGCTTCCTCTATCAGGTGCCTTCTGGAAGACCAATCCAGTGACAAACCTCTGCACCACGTCCTGCGACTCTCCCTGAACCTTTCGTTTCTTCTGCTGGACTATGCAGTTTGCCACCACCATTTTTTCATTCACCTGTTTAGATTGCACCAAGTGCAAAGCGCTCAGGAGGTTCTGAGTGAAGAGGTCTGCAAAGTGGTTTTCTTGGCGTTCAGATGTTTCGTAGGATACAAGTATGCCACTTTTAAGACCGCAGCCCAGCAGCTCTGTTGAACTGCCAGGGTTTACATGTGTATTGTGATTCTTAAATCCCTCCCATGCCATTTTGCACAATTGTGGGATGTCTGGCTGTTTCTTCTTACATAATGAGCTGTTTCCAAGAATAGCCAATTGCAGATGCTTGGAGGTCACTCTGTGGTACAAGTCTGTGAGGGTTGAAGGCAAACTATCACCGCGACTGTCTTGGTGCTCGAGCAGGAAGCAGGTAGTCCAACAAAGTAGCGGGTTGGAGCATAAACTGAATATGTAGCTTTGATTCTTAATCTTTTTTAGTGCACTCCCTTGGAGGGAAGAATCCCCAAAATATTTTGATGTATACAACTCGATGTCTTCAGGAGAGAAGCCACCAAGCTCCAAAAGGCTGTCGATTTTTCGCAGCACCTGATTTAAAACGTCTTTAGGCCTTGTGGAAATGAGAATCGTGCAGCCCGAGAGGATTTCCTTTTGGAACAAACCCGAAAACAGCTGCTTGATGGTGTATTTAGTGTCTGTGGGTGATTTAGCAGGGGATTGAAGAAGCCCTTCAAAGTCTTTAATGTGATCAAAGCTGTCAAAGATAATGAGAACTTCATCCGGACAGGACAGAATGTGTTTGAACACAGAATCTGAGTCCTCACAGCGAGGAGATGTAGACAACTCGAACAGTAACCCTTTCAAGCTGTAGTTAGATTGTGTGAGGTCTAAAATTTTAAAGTTCAGCAAAAAAACAAACTGAAATTGAGGCAGGCTGCCGCTTGCCCAGTCCAAGCATAAACGCTGAATGAACGTGGTTTTCCCCACTCCGGCTTTTCCGAGGAGAGCGACAGATTGTTTTGGTCTGGAATCACTGCTACAAAACAACTGACTTCTGTCCAACTTTGATTTCTTTCGCTCTGAATCACTGAGGATGACCAGTTCTTTTTCTAAGCACTTGTTTGCATTCTTGCCAGATTTGATAAGGAGTTTCCTCTGGATCAGATGCACATCCACGTAGTGTGATTCCATTCCCATTCCCCCACGCATAGTGCAGCAGACATCTCTCACGCGGGACTTTACGTGATGTATGTAATCTTTAACACATTCTGTAAAATAAACATTTATCATGTTTCCCACAGTCTTATAAAGTTATTCAGGCTTACACAATGATTAAATAGGTTTCTTACCTGGTGCTTCTGGGCGGATTTTCCTTTCGGTTTTGGAAGGTGGGGAATCAGTGTTATTTTGTGGGTTTCCTTCTGTAATTCGCAAAACAATACAATTCAATACAATAGTACATTGGGTTTAATTTGTTGTT